TAATATAAACATGTTTTATGCTTTTAAGCATTTTTCCACCTATCAGTGTCAAGGTATTTTTAGATTATTTTCTCTGCCTAAAATATACAAACATCCATTTGATTGAGTTCAGACACAAATGGTAGCACTGTAAGGAGCAGTAGTCAACTTTCACTCTTACTAACTATGGTTTTTTAAAAGAACTGCCCTCACTATCTCCAGATGTATTAGCACACATTTTTCCATGGTGTTTAACCTGTTTGGGTTTGTTCTGCCTCTAAAGTACATCTTGTGTTTTATTAATCTATCTTGTCTTAGGTATCTGAAAAAACTCCAAGGGTTGTATCTTGTGTTATGTTTTCCCATGTGACTAAGCAGGCTAATTAAAAGTAGCCTTTAAAGTACAATATTTTGAATGAGAAGTCCTTAAATTTACTCAGGCTATAACACCCAAATATCACATGAACCAGTTCTTCAGATACAACTTCCAAGAAATTATTAGAAAATATACAATTGTAGTAACAGCAGAGCATTTCATCCCTAAACTATAATGACAGCATACTGTACACAGACAGGAAAACAGCCTTTAAAATGACAATATCCATTAATATTAGGAATTCCCTTCAGAAGTCTGTTGATGGCACAAAAAAACCCCCAAAAAACAGGGTTTCCATATATTCATGCTGCTCCCAGAATATAGGTTCTGTCTCAGCAAGAAAAAAACCCCAAACCCACCAAAACAAAACAAAAGCCCAACCAAACAAAAACAAAACACAAAACCCCCTGTTGTGTTCTTCAGTAGGAAGTCTATGTGTAAAGGAGAACTTAAGCAGTGACAAGTGCTGAAGGTACAGCTCTGGAGTTGGAATTCACCACCAATACAGAAAAGCACCACAAATACAAAAAGGCACCGTTCCTCCTGTCTTCTGAAAAGCAATTATGGCACCATCACAACAACAAAACAGAAATATTCTCAATATATAGTATTTATCTCCATGATAGCTCCATATTTGCCTTCAATGCTGGAATGGCCAAAACCTGTTACCTTGACACCCAACTTCAAGCAACTTGTTTGTCCAATATTTGAAAAATGGCACAGGAAATCATACCATGTAAGACTGCTCATGCTAGCATTACATTAGCAACTAAAGATTTCAGAAGAAATACATCTTTGTATTAATCTGACCTGAATTTTACATCATTAATTCTGGAGCAATAATGTTAGCCCAATATTTAGAGTTTAGCTACTTGAAATCTAAGGTAACAAAAACTCGAACCCTGATACTCACATCTGCTTCCCTTGACAGGACATGAAATACAGGTCCTTGGAGCTAAACATCCTATGTATCTTATTTTCTTGCCTCAAATCTTGAGCTGTTTAAAGAGGAAACCAATACTTAACAAAGTGAAACAGCTCTTAGGAAGGCAGTAGACGGTTTCCTCATCAATTAAAGCAAAAAACCACTCAAACTTTTCAGTGATGAACTACTACCAGCAGGAGAGAGTACCAAGGGTGCAGCTTCCAAGAAATATTGTTCAAAATAAACTGTAAATTAAACGTCTCACCTTCCACCCTGGTCCAAAAGGAATGTAGATCCATAATGACCAGAATTAAAGAACTCTGTTTCAAGATGCAAGACAAGTTTCTAAAGGGGTACTAAGAAACTTGTACAAAAATTCTCTTCCAGAAATACTGTATTTCTATGGATTTTTTTCCTCATATATTTGACACTTTCTCCTCTACTAAGCCACCTATTAATAAGTAAGAAACAAAAATCTTAAAAAGGTTAAGTTCAGCTGAAATCAGCTGGCAATGACTGCATGATCTAACAAAGTTTCTTTTTCTTCCTTCTCAGCAGGAGAGAGAGGCTAAAAGAAAAGCAACTGAAACTAAGCATACTGATCTTTCAGTCACTTGTTTTCCCTGAATTTTTTCCCATTAGAACTGCAGACTCCTGTATATTGAAGCTCAATGGTAATAAGGCTTTTCTTGTCAATTATTTCTCAAGAATCTCTTAGATGTAGTGCAAAAATCTCCAGGGGTTCTGCTGACTACCGACTTCACTGTAGCTTTCAACCTACTAAAACAGTCTGCTTTGGAAAGGGAGTGATTCCTGTAGATACCAACAACAATTGACATGCAAATGCAAACAGAAAAATTTAATAAAGCTTCTGAACTCAGCATCGTCACTGCAAACTGAACGAAGCAAAAAAACTTCCCCTGCCCCCATGCCTCTGTAAGCTTCAAACTGATCTAGAAATTGCAACTCAAGTCAGATCTCAAATTTAAGTGTTTTGTTCCCGCTGTCCTGCAGGAATGCACCAAATACAAACAGCGTTGTGAATTGCCCAGATTCACACTTAAAATCCTACGGTTGCACAGACTGCACAGCACTCAACACACCCCACAGTGAGATCTGATGGGTCAAAAGCATATTTGTAACAGGAATTATTTTAATTGATCTTTCCTATTCACAATTACAGTCTCACAAAGCTGCTCAAATATTTGACAGACTCCTTATTGGAATGATTTCTATTATTCTCGATAGCTGCCTTTTGTCTGACCCACAACAGCTTCTGCAGCTAGGAGCAGTAGCAGTTATTGGGAACCACCCTGTATTCCACCACCTTAACCATCAAGCTATACGTGCCAATATCTACACATTCTGCAAGCATGCAATGTAGGCAGTAAGGCATGAAGGGAAAAAATACACAGAAAAGGCAAGTACTGTTCTGAAGTGCAGATTCTCAGAAGACTACATCCTACAATACTGCCACCTCAGGACACAACTTGGGTTTTCTTTACTTCCTCAGTTCAGCCATCCCATTCTACAGCAATTATCAAATAAATTGCAGTAACTGATATTTCTGTCCAGTAAGCACCAAATCTGAGAATACTTCTACTTTAGACTGCATTTGAACACGGTTCTAATGTCTAATTATTGTCTGTCCATCAACAGGTAGATTCAACATATTTTAGCTACATCCAGATCTCCACTGAGCCCAAGAAGGTTTTGAGTAACAAAAGCCATCAGGGTACATCATGTCAAAAACACTGAACGTTTTTAGAGCATTTCCTCAGATACCTGCCAGTAACATGAGGGTGGAATCTAGTAAGTTCATTAACCCTAAGCAAAGGGCATGTGTTACTTCATGTATTAACTGAAGTAACACATGTATTAACTATTAAATGCTTAATGACCGAAATTACCAGCAAGAAACACTACGTAAAATTTGAGGAGAGTTCTCTTTTATTAGCTTCCTCTAATTTAAAACTAAAAAAAGAAAACTCCAAAGATACCATCTCCTAATTTCCATGAGAAACAACACACTGCAGAATAATTTTGAATATTTGCTAGCCAGTGCAGAAAAAAAAGTCCCAAGATATACAAGTCTATAAGGACAACAACCAGATACATTTTCAATAAGCTTATTGAAACCTGTCTCCTCCATTTGTATTTAACTGTATGCATGTAAGGCCACAAAGAAATATAAAATACGAGCCATCTTGTAGGTTTACAAAGTTGATCTGCTAACCACAATCATTACACTAATACACTGCAATGTGGAGTACATTCACACGATTATTTGCAGAATTATCTGCTGCTTACATGTTCAGCTACAAAAAAATATCACAATGCAATGCCTGTGAGGAAGGGGTGAAATATAATGTACACCACCACAGAAATTTTTTCATTTAACCCCACAGAAAGGAGCATTACATCACACTCTTACAATGCAGGAGGAGGGGCCTGTTCTCAAAAAGCAAGCTCCAGCTATTTCCCTTTAATTTTCTGCTTGGTTCTGGAGGGAGTTGCAAAAATAACTCGGATTTAAATTTTTAGCAACACAGAAGGCTGGGGGGGGGGGGGGGGGGGGGGAAGCGAGAAAGTAAGTGTAGGCAAAGGGCTGCGCTAAGGTGGAGATGAGCGCTTGCTTCCCGTAGAACACAGAAGCCCGGCAGTGGCAGCATCCCGCACATTCCTGAGTACCTGGCGCACGGCGGACGGGCCGCCAGCCCGGCCGAGCCCGCGCGGAGCCCCGCGGCGGCAGTGCCGGGCCCGGCCGAGCCCCGGCCCCGCCGGGAGCCTCCGTCCCTGCGCCCGCGGAAGGCACGGCCCCGGCCGGCCCCGCTCCGACCCAGCAGCAGAAAGAATGCGAGCTCGGTTTTATACATGCAAATTTTTGCAGCAGATTTAAGAGCTCCGGGTGCTGTGGGGAAGAAATGTCTCTTTAAAAAGCCTCTATTTAAATAAAACAAGATTTTCAGCACTATCTTGTACTTCGCCAGCTCGAAAAATACAAACGATCTTCTGTAATTTGCCTAGGTGTTTTAAATTACAAATATCTTCCAAATCCACACCGCACTTGTACGGAGAGCTCCTTCTAAAAAACCCAAAAAATCCACTAAAAGTGCCGTACACGTACAAGCAGACAAGATCTGAAGCAAGTCTTTGTGCTAGAAAAGACACCTCTGCCAAGCCACGGATGGAAACGGTCAGCTCAGGCTCTTAAAGAAATCAACTGATAGGTAAAAACAATAAAACATAAACGTACCACTAACCTCATAAAGTGCAGCAGTGCTTAAATCCAGCGAGTTGAGGCATACAAGGTAGAAATGGAAATGAAAAAAAAAAATCCAAAAATGGTTTTGTGTTTTTGCTTTTTTTGTTTAGGTTTTTTTTTTCCTTTTTTGTTAATTTTCTTTCTCTCTCTCTTTTTTTTTTTTTATTTCAAACGTTCAGAACCCAGCAGACGCTCCGTCGGCCATTTTGGCTGCGCTCCCTCGCTCTCTCCTCTCGCTCCCTCCCTCTCGCTCCCTCTTGCTCTCTCTAAAGGAAGCAGCTTTTTTGTGACCTTCAAATACGGGCGGCTCACGTGACCCCGCGCGCGCTGTCACTCACCGCCCGGGCCCGCCCCGCCCTGCGCCTTAAAGGGACAGCGCCCTGCCCGCACCGGGCCGGCCTCCCCCGCCGAGCCCCGCACCAGGGGGGTATAGTAGGGAGCCCCGAGAGTACGGAGGGCGGCCTAGATGGAGCTGCGCTCTTTAAAACCGGCTAAAAAAACAGCAGCCGGCTAAAAAAACCCAGGAATTATGCTAATTCCACATTAGGGCTGCGGAGCCGACAAGCGGCGGATGGTGAATGTTAAGTCCCTCCAGCCACACGCGCTGCTCTGCGGTGCACCGGGAACACCGACCCCAGCGCTCGCCTGCAGGAACCCCCATTTTAAGCACAACGCCCTCCTGACATAAGGACCGGAGGTTCATGCTCAGACCAAAGTTAATCCAGGCTGTAAGCGGACTGCCCACACCACACGCACGAATAAACCCAAGATCAAGGTCCAGACACAGGAACACCCGCAGGACAGCAGAGCAAACTCGGTCTCTGCCGGCTTGAAGTCTCAGGCTGCAACTCAGCCATTAGGCAGACACTCCACAGCCTCTTCCCAACAATTTCCATAGATAACTGCTCTAACAGCGGCTGAAACAGAGAAGCCCAGCATCTTGTAACATAAAAAAAAAAATATCTGCGGGATGTTTCCAGATGTTACCCTGAATGTGCAGAAACAGTAAAGAATACCGCTCAGCAAAAGGATATGGTGACATTGGTACGATCCTGCTGTGAGGAGACCTGCTCCTGAGTCAGCCCAACACAGGTAGGAAATGCTGGAGCTGACTTTGTAATGGAACCATGCCTGGGGAAGGAGCTGACAGCTCGCTCGGGAAGCTCTTAGGAGCACCCTCAGCATCAAACCCTTAAAATATACAAGTTTTTAATTCTGTACAGTTATGCACCACAACGATGTAGAACGTAAAAAAGCCAAAACACACCTGAACACCAGGAGAACCTGTAACATGTACACCTTGGTACAGACTTTGTGTCTGGGTGCGTGCAAATTGCTTTAAATACGCTACAGCAAGTAAAGTATGAATGCTGCCATCTCAGACCTACAGTTACACTGCTGCTGTGCTTACACTACCTTCTACTTAATCGTTCTGTTCTATATAGCCAAAGATTAAGTGCTGCTAAATCCTTTAGACATAAAACTACTGATAAGTGTGAGGCTAAGTCAGGCAAGTGGGTCCACTCTGAACCTCGTGATTTAATGGGTCTCCCTTACCCTTTGCACTCTTACTTTTTTTTTGTTTGTGTTCCCAGTCCCTGCAGGAATTTCTTCAAATTGATTGTGATCTGATTTTCTTTGCTATGCTTCATCCAGGTAGTAAGCAATATTCTGAGCTGGAGGGAAAAAATCCAATTCCTGACCCTGCACAAGCCACCCTAAGAATCACACCATGTGCCTGAGAGCTTTATCCAAACACATCTTGAACTCTGTCACAGACATGGTGCTTTTGCCAATACCTTTGACAGGAATTCTTTAAGCATCTAAATCACCCATTCATGACAATACCACGGAATGAAACTAACTTGGAGATCCATGTGAGGGCACTCCAAAGGAATTAATTTGAGGGGGGACAGAAGCTGCACATCTTATGAATGAGAACAAAAATTATTAGTATGTATTATTAGTGAACATAAGTCATTGGCCTCTGCAGGAGGCCATGGAAAGCTACTGTGGCTCTGGTTCTGATGTGTTTTGCTCCAACCCTCATAATAAGAAATACAGAAACTCAAACGGGGATTCTGCCACCGACAGGATTCCTTCAACAGGACTACAGGCTGCACTGTGACCATCTGTCTCTGCAGGCTCAACAAACTCTGGCAGTAGCTAATGTCAGCTGCATTCTGGGGTACTTAATGAAATAGAAGCAGCTGGATATAACTGCTCAGGTTGCTCTGCCTAAACCAGAGCAGAGAATTGCCCTGCTGGATGTAGCAAACTGGAGTGTTTTGTGGCTGCTCTAATCCAAACATAGCAATTTAGGAAATGTGGTGAAAACTCAGGGAACATCTTATTTGTGGCAAAACCCAAAGAGAACACCACAGTCACTCTAAATTCCTAATGACAAAATCCAAACCAACTGCTAGGCATCCCATTCACACAGTTTCATAAAAGCAAATGTAAATTCACATCTATGAAACAGCTATCCCCTCCTGAAAAAATACATCAAGTACTGCGGCTACATGTTCTATGCATGTTCACACTGAGTAAGACAGTATGCATTAAGCTACAGACAATTTTATTTCTTCTCAAAAGCCAAATTGTTTTACTGAGACCTATAAATCCTCTTAACTTCAACTAGGGTTTGCCAACTCTCCATTCTGAAGTCCTGGAAGCCTTTACTTTAAGGAGATGATAATACTGTGGTGACTTTCAGAAGCAAGAACTCACTTGAGTTGCTATGTATCCAAGTTGAAGTAATTGCCATAAAATTTCACCTTGCCAATGTTCTATTGACAAAGCTTTTTTTAATCAGAAAGTAAGCAAATTATTAGTGAACCAAAAATATTTAGAGAAGCTAGCAAGGGTAAATCTTGAATAACTATCTTTAAGTAAAATTTTTTCCACTAAACTACCATTTCAAAGGCATCAATTCTTTACCTATTCTTGTTAGCATATTGATTAAGATGGCTAACAAAAAGGTTTTAGGTTTTTGTTTGATTTGGGAAGCTTGTTGAGTTTTATTTGTTTGTTATGCATCAGAGTAGTTCAGAAAACAGTGGAGTAGAGCATAAATGTACACACAGCATATCCAAAACCTGCACCTTCCTTTTCAGAGGGCAATTGCATTTCAAAAACCTAACCATTAATTATTCTGATGCCAACAGGCTGTTAATGGCCAATGTTAATAGGTTATAGCCTTGTTATGTGCTACTAACTTATCTGATTACAAATAGTTCATTTCTAAGCTCCTTCCATCTGAGGATCATAAAGCACTTTAAAATCTTTAATGAAGCCTCACAGTGCTCCTATGAGGACAGTATCCAGTATGAGCAGACATATACATGCACGTTAAGAGAGATGCTTACAATCATGGATTCCCTGCACAAGTATCTCAACTGAGACAGGAGAGGAATAGGTTTTTCAATTCATATTAAGCTGTATTGTGGTTCTAGTAAGAACTCATTCTTTTTGATGACCTATCAATAAGAATCAAGCAATTAGGCTTCAATATTATGTACACAGACACGCTCCAGTGTCCACTGGAACTGAGGCATCCACACCCTCCAGCTGTCGAAAAGGAGACCTAGTCTGTCTGACCTGTAGCTCTTTACTCAGATTTAAAAGGATCTGAGTTCATCCCAGTCCATATGCAAAGCTCCCTCTTTCATGAGCTGGCATTTTGTTTGGGCTCAAAGTCCTACTTTGAAGGCTGCACCCTCATCGTCCCAACACTGGACCTCACCCACTCAGCTTTTTATACTGCCTATACACCCATGGCAATAAATATGAGACTTATTTTTTTCCGCAGAAAGTTCTTCATAGCTGATACTATGACAGTGGAAAAGTCAATTAATCTCCTCCTAACACAGCTCCTCTGCAGAAACCTCAAATATTAACAAGTTTCTCATAGCATGAATGCCTTGTCACCAGCTGTCCGTTCTACTGCTGTTGAAGTTTGACTCCTCAAATATTAGGGAAAAAAGGCAGATTTTCTTGCCAAAGTGAACTGAAGCCTATGTGCCCTCTACCCTACTGCAGCTCATCAGTTTGATTTCTCCAGATCTCCCTCTCCCAACCCCAGAAGTGGGGTGCAGCAAGAGATGCAAGATAATTGGAGGCAGATTACAGATTACTCACCAGCTCCCCAGCCAGTCTCCAGCAGTCCAACTGCTCGGGATTACAATCCCACCAAGCATAACTCTTCAAGCTAAAAGGGATCAGAAAAGTGCCTGCCTTTCCTGAGATCAGGCTAAAAGCATAACTCAGGGTAGGGATATGTATGCAAGGACTATGTGTCATAGTTTCACAATTTCTAATAATAAAAAGCAAGCCGAGAACCCTATAAATTAAGAAATAGAATTAAAAGTCTTAACTTTTCATTGTGTGCTCTTAAAACTACCATATGGTTTATTTCAAGGGAAACAATATTTTTTCTATTAAAAACAGTCTCAGTCCTGGATACTGGATGTTTCAGATCACTTTTAAATTATTTTCTCTAATTAGAGATGCTGAGGCCCAGCACTTCTGAAAATTGAAGATGATAGCTAATTCTAGCTGTACCAAGATACTTTTTTTCAGTCTTCACAGCAATTTCACCTAAGCCATTGTGCAAGAGTGATGACCTCGCCTTCAGGAGTGCAAAACTTTCAAGTGTTCAAACAATTTTCAAGGACAAAACACTCACCGTAAGGAAAACTAGGGGTGTTTTTGGGGTCCTACCCTTCCACACTTAGTAAATAGCGAGATATTTTATGCTGCAAATTTGTGAAAACCAAACTGGCAATGGTTTTTAATGATAGTAATCAAAAGTATAATGTAAATAGTTTCTTCAGAGAAAAATACCATTACTAAAAGCATCCAACAAAGGAAAAGCTTGTTTGGTTTCTGAAAAGGTTACAGAAGCTTTTGCATCCCTTACACAAAGGCACTTATCAACACATTTTAGGGATTATTATTACTATTATTATTCAAAACTTGTATTGCAACACTGCTTTGAGTCATACTAAGCTCAGACCTCATTCATATTTTGCAAGGAACAAAAGAAAGAATACAAGGTCTGAAAACTTCAGTTTAAGAATGACACATGACTTTAAGCCCAAGCCAAGTTCTGATCCTATACATTAATGAAGTACTCAGGAAAAGATAATGAGTCAGAAGGAAAACTTTATTCACCAAATTTTGCAAACACTTGTTTTTCCACCTAATTTTTCCTCAATCTGCTGCAATACTTTCCCTCACTGTTCAGCCTATAAATAATCTACCACTAAGCCTCCACTTCTTCAATTCCCCAAATGCCCTTTCCAGACTGCAGAAAGAGAAAGCTTTCAATCTGCCTTTTAACAAAGTTGTTGGGTGAACAACAGAACTGAAAGCTCATTTCCTACGAATCTCTGTCACACATCACTGCACCTCTACTTTCCACACTAATCCCAGCTTCCTGCACAGCCAGTTCTCCTTTGATGCCAAGGTTCTAACAGCATATTGAGCTCTATGCAGAGCTCTTCCCATAAATTGTTTTCGCCTCTTTCAGTGTCTGGGCAAAAACTAGCATATACTGCAGCTAATCCCAAAACACACACATGATTAGCTGCTAGAAGACATAAGCAGAACAGATAATTATTTGTCTTGTCCTGAAACCCTTCTGTTAGTGGAGAAATCAATTTTGGTCTCTTCTCTAGGAAGCTACAGAAGTTTAATATATGGATAATTGTATTATAGTTTCTTGCTTCTCTGCCTCACTTGACCAGAACTGGACAACAGACTCCAAACTTATTTGGGAAAGATAAAAACATGAAAAGCCATTGCATGAGACTTAACTACTCTAGGAACTGAAAGAATTGACCCCCAAGATCATCTCCTGCCCATGATTATCTACATCTAAATGCTGATCAAGTCTTTATATCCATATCCTCGGACATAAAATAAGTACTTTCCAGTAACATCACATGCAACAAAATTTGTGTAGATTAATATTCTTAGAATTTCTTTAACCTGCTAATTATCAACCCAGAAGCATTGTGATTTTGAAGGCTATAGTCCTATCCTAACAGGTTCCTAAAATCTTATAAACTGCCAAAATATCAATGAAA